CATATAGGAAATCCAATGGTGTAAGATTGTTTCGTGAGATTTAAGCACAATCCAATGACTAATATCAAGTGGGTCAATTAATTACTAATGGGCTTGAGTTTTGGATCTAAGAAAATTTCCTTTTCTCTCCTAAAATAATCCCTCTAGCACGCCTAAGATCACTCTTTTCTTTTTCCATCTCCATAGCACGCACGGACCATAAAAACGTGAATCCTCTCCTTTCAACAATATCCCACATTCACCATATACCATCTAGTCACCATCATCACTCCACGTATAAAAAAAAGCCGCACGCCCTCTCGCATATATCCATTGATTCCATTCTATATTCACCCACCAATTTCAATCAATTCCTCTCCTTTCTCACTACACGCACAGCTTCTCATCTACACCTCATCATTCATGGCCGTGGCATCTAACAACTTTGGAGGAAGAGGCATTTTGACGGAGGCTTAAGCTTGTTAGGGAGGCAACTTGAGAGGAGCATGGAAGAGACTCGAGCCTTGGGCTAGCACTTGAAGACCACAAGGGAGTGATGTTCCATTTATCTTTTTAATTCAAGGACTTGAGATTATTTAGTTTTAAATAATTTTAAGTTGTAATTTTGTGAGACAATTTAGTTCTAGATTGTCATCTTTATGTTTAGATTGGATTTATATTTGGATTTTATGTGTGTTGAGACACTTGTTGGAATTTATGTTTAGAACCTTTGCATTGTTAATTGAATTTATAATTGAGTTTTCATTATGAGTTTAATTATCAATGTGGTTTGAATTGCAAAATTTGGGTTCTTTTACCACTTAATTGTTTAATTAAGTTGGTTAATTTTCTAATTGTTTAATTGGATAATTTGAAACATAATTTTCAAAATTAATTGAGTTATTTTTCATTGGTTTTAATAAACTTAATTAACCAACCTTATACTGTTATGAGTTCTCTAATAGTTTAATAGTTTTTGAAATTGAGGGTTCCCTTTGTTTCAAGTAGGTAATTAAATTTATTAACTCCACTCTCTTATCACTTCCCTTTGGTCTAATTAACTAATTAAGGTTATGAAGGTTAAATCCATGCAAATCCTAATTTGTCCCCTCTACCTTATGTAACATCCTTATTTTTACTTAGTATTTAATTAAATTTATAAATAAATATATTTTAATATCAAGTTAATAAAAAAGAAAGGTTAGATATAAGCAAATTATTATTATTATTATTTTAATAATGTTTTTGTGTGTGATTGTGTGTGTGTGGATGGTATTCTACAAAATTATACCATGGTATAGAAGTCCCACATCGACTAATTTTTAGAGTGAAGGAGTTTGAGGAGCCTATATATAGGAGATAGTGAGTGGAGCTTGAAGTGAGTAAATAATTTTCACACATATCTGAGGTAGTCTCAGAAAAGTACTAGTTTTGAGTTTATTAACCGTTGGATCGGACTGAAATTTGGTCAGCCCATTTGGGACATCCAAATCGTTAATTTCAACGGTTGGATTATCATTTTGATCTCTGAGTTACAAGTTATTAGGTACGTTTTTAACTTATATCTTTTGGATTTAGCAGATAGAGTCCTGAATAGTAAATTAGCATTTTAAAGTTCATTCACCGTTAGATTGAGCTACAATTTGGAGGATAGTATCATGATATATAGGAAATTAAATTCAACGGTTAGATTAAGGGTTTAACTTCTGTAGTGAGAATAACCTGGTTCGTACTAAGTCTATTTGTCTAAGTCCTTTGAAGATGGAATATAAGTTATCAATTTATAATTTGTCTATTTGCATTATGAATTTGATGATTCTAATAATATAATCTAATAATTAAAGGATATTTAAGTAAGGGAAAATTCAGGAATCGAGTCTAAATCATATGTGTGTGTGTGTGTTCTCATTCCAAACCTTAGAGAAATGTCTTTTAGGCTAGAGTTCTGAGTAAAATTAAAGCTTTTAGAGGAGGAGTTAGAGGCTAGAATTTTGTGAGTAGCCTACTCTAATACTATAGAGATAATATTTTAATTTTGTTTGTAGATATAAACTCTATTGTGGCATTTTCGAGGTTGGACTCTGGTTATAGTTGACTGTTAGCTAGGAGACCAGGTAACTAAATTTCTATCTGTTGCGTGCTCTAGTATGAAGTTGGTGAGCGGCTTTATAACTAATTCTATAAAAGTATATTACGTTTTGTATGAACTGTCTTGTGGGATGCTATTTTAAAAAGGATTGACATAATTTGTATTGCAAGAAATTGGTGATCATGATTATGATGTGCTATTATGAAATTCTGTTGATTATGCATATAAATCTGTGATTTTGAACCCTGTACATCTATTTTGGGTGGGGAAGGAGATGATTGGAGTTATTGAGATTTATATACTTACCACGTGGTATCGGCCTCCATACGGAGCTCTATGGTTGGCCACTATTATTGTCCCACTAGTTCTTCGAGGGACTGCGACACCCCACTAGTTCTTCGAGGGGGGACCCATGGTCCACCGAGTGCTCTGTGGTCTTTGGCCGGTCCATATCACTTGAGTGGTGAGCTTGTCAGAGTAGCCAGTCAAATGGAAAGAACTTAGCCCATGGGTCCAGTCGGCGGAAATAAGGAGGATATAAGGATGGATTTGGGTTCAGGAATTGCATATGACATGGGATATTCATTGATATTTATATCTGTTAAATAAATGATAAGTATGTTATTTCTTTTGGAATGTATCAATTGTATGAGAGTGGTGGAAATATTTACTTATATGATTATTGTGAGTTTAAATGTTAAATAAATGTTTATCAATTATTATTAATCCTGTGTATCCCACCTGACATCTCGCTAGCCATGCTAGGGTGTGTAATAGGTAGGGATTTAGTTACTGAGACGTTGTCTCATTCCTATTATTTAACATTTTTTAGGTGAAAGCTTTAAAAGAGGGACGTTAGGGAAGGCTCAGGAGGAGTAAAGCTACATTAGTAACTTGTAGCGTCTCCTCGATTTATGAGCTATGTTGTATCCTGTATATTGCCATCTTAGGATAAATTGGTTTTAATTTATTCATGCACTATTATTTCTTATGTCCTTTGAGTGTACTATTGTGGTATGTGTGCTGATAGGTGGCCAGAGGCCTAGGATCGCATATTCGCATGTGCTTTATTTATGAATTTATTATAAAGTATGAATTAAGATTTAATTTTTAATATTTTGATTTATGAGCTATATTATATGTTGTTTTATAACCATATTAGATAAGATTGATCATTTCTTATATAGTTTGTATTTAAATGAGTTAAGAAAAGTTCTTTTATCCGTGATAGTATGTATGATTGGGTGCTGCTCTTTTCTATCACGGATAACAATATTATATAATTAGTTAGTGTAAATGATTGTAATATAATTTGAGTTTGTATTTAGCATGGTTTGGTTATAAAAAGTTATTTCTTCAAGTTACTATAAAAAAAAAATAGGTTTATCTGTTTATTTAGGAAGGTTGTTTCACCTTACCTGAAGAGAACTTCTCCATTTTTACTTGTTAATTTTCTTTGCTTCCTGATTAATTTTCTTCATTTATCATTTTAATTTGTTTTCTTAAAAAAAAATCCCCCCAAAAATTGTATTACATTTATTTAGTTTAATTTAATTTTCATATAGATTTTAGGACATTTGCATTTTCCATTTAGAATTAGAATTTTGCATTTTAGTTTAGGTCCAATTTATTGTATTTTTTTATCACCTAAATTTTTACCTAAAGAAACCCATAAATTGCTCCTTGAAAGTAATGACCTAGGTCGATCCTGAACTACAAATTAATTGAGACCTAGTTTAATTGAGTGCTTTAATGACAAAAGCATCATCAGTCCTCATTTCTAATCCCTCATTATCGATTCCCACCACCACCAGTACAATACTACGTCCGATCCTTAATACAAAATCCTGTTTGACTTTTATTTTAGTTTTAAATATAAAATCTCAATCCACTTTGTCTCTCATATTTATATATTTTTATTCAAAACAGTCCTTCTAATAATTATAGTCCTAGCCAATATATTTGATTGTAAGGATATTTTAGGAAGAACAATACCTATTTATTACAAATAACTAACTTAACTTTTTTTCTTAATCTCCTCAAATTAATCAATTGGGTCTTATAATTAGAATCTAGTATATACGGTAATTTCAACCCATTGCTTGCCGCCTCATTAATCAGGTCTCTCAGAAGGACGCCATTCTCTACTGTCATCATTTCGCTACCAAAAAGTCAATAACAGTGAAGCGGAGTTGTCGTAGGCGTGCTTGATATGCTTAGTGTGGGGATAGAGAGGAGGATGAGAGCGAGACCCACAAAGCCGAGAGGGGTTGGACATGGCGCTTGGTGTGGGGAAAGAAAGAAGAGAGTGGGGGGCGGATGAGAAGAAGAGAGATTGACAAAGGCAATAGGGAGTATTGAGCTGACAAAGTGGGTCCACCGAATAAAAAAGTAACCACGTTTAGGAGATTAACGGAGATGGTATTTATGTCCCGTTTGAAACGCTAATACTCCTCCGATCCTTATTATAAGACCCTATTTGACTTTTTATTTGGTCCTAATTATAAGACCCCAATCCATTTTGTCTCTTATATTTATGCATTTTTTTTAAGATAATCCTTCTAATAATGATAGTTTTAGCCAATATACTTAATTAGCAAGGATATTTTAGGAATGACAACACTTATTTATTATAAATAACTAACTTAACTTACTTCCTTAATCTCCTCAAATAAGTCAATTGGGTCTTATAATTAGGATCGGAGGAGTATCTATTTTTGTATCAATAAAAACTAAATTATAATTTTAAGAATAATTTTATAATAGTCAAAATAAGTACGAGGAAGTATTTTTGAAAGTGATTTTACGTTCTTCCAAGCACCCTTCAGTCTTATGTGTAAACCATCCTTAAGAGTTAAGATTGCTTCCAACCTAAGCTGCATCCGGAACTGTTTTATGACGTTAAATAAAATCAAAGCATAAGGGCTGGACGACGGAGAATGGGGAAAGGAAAGTTGCAGAGCACCCAAGCTTGCTAGCGTCTCTGGCGTTGAGATTCAAGAGCTTCAATGTTGGCGGCCAATTAATTTCCAGCTTCAAATCTAATACCCACTTCCATCCATTTTCACACTGAAGTTCAGCACCCTCCTCCTCAATTCCTCCCCCACTTCAGCAAAATGTGATGCGTCGATGATTTGATTTTGAAACAGTTCATGGGGTCTATAAGCTTGAAGACATGGATCATGAAGTTTCCACCCATTTTACCTTCTGATTTTCGCATCATAGCTCTCAAAAAGAGCATTGTTCCGCCTTTTTAAACGTTGGAAGGTTACGTTTTCCATATAGGAAGCTTGAAACCTCGTAGTTTGTAGGCACAGGGGGCAGGGGAAGCAATGGCTTTACAAATGAGCTGTCAGAACAACAGGCAGAAGCATGTCGATTTGAGTGATGGTGGAGGAGAAAAATGGGTCAAATATTATTCTTCACATCATCAAATACTGTTGGTGGGTGAGGGTGATTTCTCCTTCTCCCTTTGCTTGGCTCAATCCTTTGGTTCAGCTTTCAACATCGTTGCTTCTTCCCTTGACACCTATGGTCTCTCTCTCTTCTCTCTCTCACACACACACACACACACTCTGCTCTTGCATTTGTGTGTGCAATGTTTCTTCTTCAAAATTTTCCCCTTTCTTGTGACAGCTGTTATTTTGAATAATGGAGTTATCTAAAACTGCATAGGGTTTTTCTGATTGCTTGATGATGACGCTTCTTACAAATACTACGTTAAGTGTTTATTTTTCACCCTCTTCCCTCTTGAAATAACTATTATTTTCCCTTAGTAGTTTGCAAAACGATGGATTTGTTCATCAAGTGAGTTTGATTTCTGTTCGCTTGTTGCTTTCTAAGCACCCAAAAGAAGTCAAGCTATGCCCTGCAATTTCGCTGAAGGGATCATTGATAATCGGAAGGTTTCTCGTTTGTGATTTTAACTCCATGTACATAAGGAATCTTAACATTTGACCTTTTATATATTTATTTTTTTATTGTCATTTGTATTTTGCGTACCCTACGAAAAGTTTCTAGGAGGAGTCAAGGAGCTAAATATTTGACTTTCTTTAGTTATTCTAATGAAGCTTAGTTCAGACATAAATCTCGCCTTAATCGTTGCTTGCTTAGATGGTTTTCTGATTCTTCATGATTTGTGGAAGTGCTTGTGTTTATATACTATTCTTCCATTTTTCTATGAGCATCCCATAGATTTTGTTGTCTGAATCAATTGTTTCTATTGCTGCGCATGTTATCTAATTTGTGGACTGTGGATTCCATCGATCTGGTTTACTCTTCAGCTTTTCGTAATTGTTGTTACTACAGTGTTGAATGTTTGTCATGTCATTGATTACTTTTTCTGTTCATTAAGATCAAGTTGTGAGGAAGTACAAGAAGGCGATGTCAAATTTGATTGCCTTAACAAACATGGGAGCATGTGTGTTGCATGGAGTTGATGCAACCCAAATGAAATTTCATCCATACTTGGAAATGAGGAGATTTGATAGAATTATATTCAACTTCCCTCATGCAGGCTTTCATGGCAAAGAAGACAACTTCTCCATGATTCAGTGAGTTCCCTGTTAGAATTCATATTACTATTGTCTAACATCTCTGTGTGTCTGTAATACAATATAAAGACTGTGTTAGATGCATAATGTAAAATCATCTCGGATCTTTCCATAAGTATTGTGTTTAAGCTTTTCTAAGGGACTGTACAGACATGCCAATTTCTCTTGCTCAAAGTCTGATTTCCAACAGAGAAAAATAAGCGGCAATCTTGATATCTGGTCCTCATACATTAATCTAATGATTCTGCTGTACATTTGTGCGTTTTAGTTTAAGCCGATTCGGTTTGGTACATGAACCATTTAGTTTTCCTAGCATTTGGCTGCTTATGTATAAGATGGTTGGCTATAGAAAATATGCAAAGACATAGTGTCTGTAAACAGATATACATCGAAACTTGCATGTATTGTATTATTTGTACGTCCAAACATTGATTATTCTGGCTAAAAAGCTCTGGTGCTTTCACTAAAAGACAATGCATGGGCAAGGTTGATTCAGTCATTTCATTGGACACTTGCAGTTGTCATGCTGTGGGGAAATTATTTGAATGCTCATGCATGTGATAATTTTTCAGAAGGAAAAAACTCCAAGTACCTCTATCTGTCTATCAAGCAAGAAGTAAGGGCGTTTTGGTCAATACAGCTTATGAAGATTATTGACCCTACTAGTATAGAACTTGATATTCCTTATATCCACAGATTTTTGTAATTATGCATCTCTCCACCCCTCAATACGCACACAACCTCTTTTGTCTGGTTTCAGTTGTTTTGTTATTGATGCAATTTGACACATCTTTCTATATATTGCACCGAGTTTAAAGAATAAGTTGCACTATTTATAACTTGTGAATATTGATTGATATATTCTTATATTGATGATTGTATAATATGTAACGGCATTCTAAGCGAATTATTGCAAATTCTCCTCCAGTTAATTTGTGTATGTGAAGGCTTTAGCATCCTTCTTTTTTTCATTTTTTGGGATTTACAGGAAACACAAGGACCTTGTACGTGGGTTCTTTATGAATGCAAGTAGCATGCTGAGGTCCAATGGTGAAATTCATGTTAATCACAAGACCAACCCGCCATTTGATGCCTGGTGCATACCGGAACTTGGGATTCGAAGCTTTCTATGGCCAATTGGGTGTATGGAATTCAGGAAAGAAGATTACCCGGGTTATAATAACAAGCGAGGTGACGGGACCAGGTGTGATGAGCCTTTCCCCCTCGGTAAGTGCAGCACGTTCAAGTTTGCCTTGTTAACAAAAAATGACTTCTACCCCACAAGCCAAACAATTCTGAGTAATCATCACTACCCTCTGATAAGCCTCAATCCTCACTCACCACCGTCAGCAATTAGTTGCAGAAATGGACACCTTCCAATGTTAGAAGGAGGAGGAGGCTACTTAAACGGTGGAATAGGAATTCTAGAAAGAGTTGGTCATGTTGGTGGAACCAGTTGTGATTTGCAGAGATCATTGCGGTCTGAATCAACTGTGTTTGGGCATCCACAAATAGATTATGTTATGGATATGGATATGATTCTGGGAAAACAAGTTTCTGGTTATGTTCATGGAATCAGTTCTGACTTACACAGATCATCACGACCTAAATCAACTGAGTTTAGTTATCCACCAACAGGACATGTTAGAAATATGGATACGATAGGGGGAAGACACCTTCCAATGTTAGAAGGAAGAGGAGGCTACTTAAACGGTGGAATAGATTTTCTGGGAAGAGCTGGTGATGTTGGTGGAACTAGTTGTGATTTGCAGAGATCATTGCGGTCTGAATCAACTGTGTTTGGGCATCCACAAACAGATTATGTTATGAATATGGATATGATTCTGGGGAAACAAGTTTCTGGTTATGTTCATGGAATCAGTTCTGACTTACACAGATCATCACGACCTAAATCAACTGAGTTTAGTTATCCACCAACAGGACATGTTAGAAATATGGATATGATTGGGGGGGAGATTTTTTTCTGAATATGTTCATGGCATTAGTTCTGACTTGCAGAGACGCTCATGGCCTGAATCCAGTAATGTTGTGCATCTTGGAACTGATACCCTTAGGCCCTACTATGCCGGTTGGTCCTAGAGTTGGAAATGAAGCCTCTCAATTTGTGGTTATGGTTGCTCAACCTTTGTTTTGTGGCTTTGTTGGTTATCTTTTAGGTTCTTTTGTTGGCCTGCAGCTACTAGCTGCACTGTGAAGCTGTGCAATTTGATGTTAACTTGGATTTCTAAACTCTAAAGTACTTTGTGTTGAATGAAAAGAAAGAAATCAAAGGGCGATGTGGGTCTTATTTTTGGGTGGACCCATATGAACGAGGAAAAAATGTGATTCCATATGTCAAAATGTTTACTTTTAAAGAAAAATAGTTGAGGAGTCTGTTTTAGTCCGAAACAATGCCTCAATCATTTTGCCTTCTAATCTCAAACTACCTCTGTTAATTACATATAACAATTGAAAGTTTTCACCAATGAGAATAGGTTCCACTTTTCAATACAAATAATTAAATAGAGTAGTTTATAAAAATAGATACACATTAATTATAAATAACTAATTTAATTAATTTTTTAATATTTATAAATTATTTATTATTTTTTTTGGTAATATAAATTAGTTATTATGAATAAATTCATGCTGAACTCAACCTTATTCTTAGTTTCCTCTTTGGCTAGTTTAGTAACTTAGCCAAACTATCCTCTTTACTGGGACTTGATGGGATCAGGTAATGAACTATTGATCTTTCTGATCAACAATTGAATAATAGATTTATAATTACAACTTAAATGTTAGCAATATTAGTGACCAAAAAAAAAAACTTTTACGTGTGAGCTGATATGTTGAATGATCCATTGAATTTAATGATCGTAAATTCCAAGTTATTCATTAACTTTTTTAGATTTATGAACTTAGCTTAAATTCCAATTTAAATTCAATGCATTCGTCATAAGAAGTTGAATTAATTAAGTCAATTCAATAACATGAAATAGAAAATAACATCATTCTGTTGTGGAATCTGAATGTACTTAAAATTGCTTGATATATGTTGGGTTTTTTTTACAGTATTAATAATTATTCATCAAGATAAAAATTAAAGTTTCTAGATAAACTATTTCTCAGCTAGACATTCGCAGATATCTCTCATTTATATAATTATTGCATTTTTCATTTCATTTCTATTTTCACTAACCAAATAATTTGACATGGAGATTACCAAAACTTTTAATTTATGAAGCAGTCTGACTAATGATCCACATTTGTAAATTAATCAAATCCAGCAAAGCAACCAGGCGCAACTTGCTCCTCATGTAATTAGTGTAATCTAATAATAGAAAAATTACTTATAGTAATGAGCGACTTTAAAAGCAAAATTATTAATCAATGATTAGCTGTAATTAAGAATGTTAGACACCAATAATTAATGATTCATATGCCCTTACAGTTGAAGTGCGAATCCTGGACCCCACCAAAAATATGAAAGAAATAGTAGGAATTGACCAGAAACTGATTTTAATGTAACTTGTGGTAATCATATTTTTTCTTAATTGTCCATATATACAGCTATTGCATTGTTGTGACACTGTGAACACCGAGCAGACTCCTTGTTGCATTAATTTGTTGTTGGCTAATATAATATGCCCAATATTTTTTCCTTTTATGGGTTTGCCATAGTCATTGTATTAAAAAATAAAAATAAACGTGTGTGTGTATTAAGTTGTAGCCTTAGAAAATAGGATATATATATTAACTTAAAGTATCATAAAGACTTTTAATCTTTTTGATATAATATATTGTCTCTGATCTTTAATATAAAACCTTGTTTGCCTTTTATTTTAGTTCTAAATGTAAGATCTCAATCTACTTTATCTCTCATATTTATCTATTTTTTTCCAAGATAATCCTTTAATAATAGTAGTTCTAGATAACAAACTTAGTTAATAAGGATATTTCAGGAAGCACAACACATATTCATTAGAAATAACTAATTTAACTAAGTTTCTTAATCTCTCCAAATTAATTAACTGGGTCTTATAATTAGGACCGGAGGTAATATAAAACAAATCCCACTTCCTTCACGGACACACTCTATATATATATATATATAACTATATATAGAGAGAGAGAGAGAGAGAGAAGAGACGAAATGAATTCAGCATCATTATCGCCTCATCACATTCGATCATACTTGCAGAGCCTGAAAGCACACAGAAGCATATGAAAAATCAAGCATGAAGGTAAGATGAGTCTTGTTCTAATGCAGATAGAATAGTTAATTATACCAACTATTATTCTGATAATGCATGCTTTGAAATTCGCTCGCTCCCTCCCTCCCTACCCCTCTCTCTCTCTATATATATATACACATATATGTTAAAATGAAATGCACTATCTATGCTTGGTACTGATGATGCAGCAAAAAATAGTGATCAAAGCGACATTAGACTGTAACAAATGCAGAAGCAAGGCCCTCACAATTGCAGCCGCAGCTAAAGGTACGTACATATATATGCATGCCATCAACTTAATTACTAATATATTGTGTGGCAATTAATTAATGTCGTGACTTGAATAATAATGTGCATGTCATGGATCGATGATGATCATGGGTTGAAGAATCGGTATTAACCGGTGTAAAAGGATTTTTCTACAATAGTGAGAGAATGAAAGCGAATAATGTTTGGTACTTGTTACCATACAGGCGTGAGTTCGGTGTCCATAGAAGGCAGAGACAGAGACCAAGTGGTGGTGGTCGGAGATGATGTCGACCCGGTTTGTTTGGCGAGGCTTCTCAGAAAGAAGTTCCGCCATGCAAGCATATTGAGTGTTCAACAGCTGAAACAAGAGAGCAAAGAGGAGAAGAATAACAAGGAAGAGGATTATGACAATAAGGTTCCACCTTATTGTCCCACTACTCATCACTACCCACCATACCCTATCTCCTCTTGTCATGTAGTTCATGATCCTTACCCTACTAGTTTTTGCTCCATTCTCTAAGACTTCTTATTAAATATATACCTCAACTAGATCTCAAACCCCGTGCATTTCATATTCATATAAGATATTTGACAGAGTTTTTTGTTCTTGTGTCAAGAACATAATACAACCCTCCCTTCTCTTTTATTCGTTTTTGGAACCGGCTATAAAACATAGACAAAAACAAAGTTAAATTCATTATGCAATGTATGAAGTTTGAAATTAGATATCATTTTGTTCAAGACTATATGAGCAGTGACCATTAACAGTTTAATTTCATAAGTAAATCTGCTGGAATCATCTCATGAAATGTAATTAATCTGGGAAAGCCTAAAATTGGTTATATCGATGTTTTTGTAGTGTCCCGTACGCCAAAGTCTTAAATTTGGAGGATTAAACATTTATTACATACGGAAGTGTTACACAAATTTCATTTTAAAAAAAAAACATTGGACTACAGAACAATATTTAGTTTTTTTTTAAAAAAAAAAAAAAAGGGACTCAGCGAGATTTGACTCAACCCTTTTTTTCCCTTTAACTATTATTAATGCAACAAAAGCTCTCAAGCATAATTTGTTTACACAACTATCTGTGATGCTAACAGATAAAATTTAAATATTATTACGTCCAAATGGCTCATTTTTCTTAATTATGAATTTTTTTATCCATAGTGCTCAAACAAATAACCTTATTTAAAGGAGTATTAAACTCCTTCTACTTGATCCAAACTGCCAATGACTATGGTAGAAGTACATGTTAACATTTTATATATTATGTATGCTTTTCTTTCTTTACTAAATTTATTATGTATGGTTGTACTCCTCCGGTTCTTAATATAAAACCTAATTATTGAGTTAATTTTAGTCTTAAATATAAGACCTATTTCTCATATTTATTATTTTTTTTTAAATTACCTTTATAGATACTCTCTCAACCATAATCAAGTAGAGGGGGAGGGGAATATTAAGGAAAATGATTATGGTGTTTTAGGAAAAACATGTCATATTTCTTATAATTAACTAGCTTAGCTAACTTTCTTAATCTAATCAAATTAGTTAAATAGGTCTTATATTAAGGACCAGTGGAGTATATTACTATTAAATATCATTATTTCATTGAATAAACGATAAAGGGGCACCCAGCACCCCAATCTTTTTTTTCAGGAGTACCCACCACCCTAATCTTTTTTTCAGTACAATTTTACCCGCAATTTATTTTTTTTAATGTAATTTAATCCAATTCCAACGGACCCTCTAACGTTTTTTAACAATTTTTTTTTTATAAGTCCACATCAGCATAACTAAGAGGATGAAAATTGACAGATAATACAAAGAAGAGAAAAAACAAACCGAGCTAGTGCGTCCACTTTGTAAGCACTAGAACCCCGCTATTAAATGGAAGAAACTTTTGTCCATTGGTTGCGACTAACTTTTTTGCTGATCAAATATCTTGCTGTGCTCTTTTAGTCCATGATTATCATGATAAATCAAGCTATTGGAGCTGCTGGAGTCGTTACTCAAGAATGCAAGGCCTTCTCACTTTTTGCTGATACCAAATTTGGTCACATTGGATGATGAATTTTCTTACGGCCTTCTCACTTCTTTAGGAAGAACCAAAGAAGATTTGCTCCCAGATTGTATGTGTGCTTTTGACAGTACTCACGGAGATTTTCAGTTATTGTTTCAGTAAATGTTATTCTCAAATATGTACTCGAGAAGATCAAAACCAGTTCTCGAATATGTATTCGAGAAGACCAGTTCTCAAATATGCATCCGAAAAGACCAGTTCTCTAATATATATTCAAGAATTGGAGCCCATTCTCGATGTTTGGTTAACTGGTTCCAATACTTGCTAAAGTTGATTTTACCTTAGCAATAGAGATTTTTTATTCACCATCTTCCTCGCGACCTTCGCTGCTGGAATTTGCAATTCGTTTAGGGTTCTAATGCTTGCAAAGTCCAATTGCTCCTCTAAAACAAAAGAGACAGAGTATGAAGGAAAACAAAAGTAAAATTTCAAAAGGTTGTTACCTTTCCAAATCAAGACAACTTTCCTTGCACGAATTTGTTGCCCTCTCCTTCACCAGATGCTAGTGTTCCCGATCGCACAAACAAGTGGGGTTCCTGTGCTTGCAAAGTGGGTGCACCAGCTCGGTTTGTTTTTTCCGATGCTTGCAGAGTGGGCACACGAGCTTGATTAAATTTTAATCCTCTTAGCTGTGCTGATGTGGACTTATAAAAAAAATATTTCTTAACAGACGTTAGGGGATCCATTGGAATTGGGTTAAATTGTACTAAAAAAAATCAATGGTGGTTAAAATTGCGCTGAAAAAAAGATTCAGGTGATGGGTGCCCTCCTGAAAAAAAGGATTGGGGTGCTAGATGTCCTTTTACCCTTGAATAAAAACCCCATTAATTTCTCGCTTAAAAAAATTCCAGCAGTTTTTCAAACTTTGGACAAGTAAGGAGGCCCAATTATATGACAATAAAAAGAAAAAAGGCTTAGTTTATAATAGAACCATGTCATGGTACTCTGTTGGCCCAGAATTTTGAACAACATGCGAACACGTCAACAAAGCTTTGGCCCAAACTAATATAACATTTTCTTACTTCTGGTCCAAAATAACATCTTTGCCACACACAAAAAGCCCTTTTAACCAAAAAAAAAAACAGAGAAAATTGAGGAGAAGTCCCTCATTAGTAATTTTCTCCAATCTATAGAGCACCGCGAGACTTTTCAAATTTTTTTTCCCAAGAAAATGTGGTCATAAATAATATGTTTCCCTTTTGAACAACCAATGAAAAAAAAAAAGAAGCTTTTAGCCTTTTCTTCGCAAAATAAACAAGAAAACTTTGAGTTTACCGATGGGGCACATTTGATGTAATATAAATTTCACTAAAAAAAATCTATACACTTAAAATAATTGGCTTAAGGATGCATATATTTATGCACAAATAATGGACGTTTAAACCATGCAAGTAATTTTGTTATTAATTTATCCATTCTTTAATTGAGAAGATTTGCAGAACTTAAAATTTAGGGCTTGGAAGATGATATCTACATGTAACCCGAATTCTTTTTTTTTTTTTAAACTTAAAAACATATAACCCAAAATCTAAAGAAAAATATTTATACAAATGATTAAATTTTCAAGAGTTGTGATATTTCGTTAGTGAAATTATAGACTAATTAAAAACACCGGCTTGTTTGCCCAGATATTGATGCTTATGGATTATTTGTTGATTTTTTTTCCTGGGAGGATTCTTTTGAGTTTGACATGTTTTTAAAGGTAAATAAAGTTACTTTCATATCACTCAAATTTATGAGAATTTTATATAATTTATACATATATAATTATGATTTTTTTATTTATAATTAGTATAAATTCTTATGTTTCTAAGATCATTAGCTAAAACTTGCTCCTGAAAATTGCAAATGGCTATAGAAAAAAAAAGAAGAAGAAGAAGATAATACTATTATTTATTACGAATAAGCTTTTGCAAGTTCAACGTGAATTGCAAGGAAATCGTTTTCTAAGTTCTGCATATAAAATTATGAATTTTGTCCTTTGCTCCCACCCCCGCCCCCTTACAATAATATCATGGAAGTGAACAACTCAAAGGGAGGCCTGGCCCTCTTTGCTTTATTTATGAAATAAGAAGATGATTTTGTTTCAAATTTATCAGTATCATCATCATCAATATATATATATATATAAATACTCTTCCACCAAGCCATCTCCAGAAACGGCTTAGCTTTAGTTTCAGAGACGAGTTACTGTTCACAAGCCATGCTCATTAAAATAAACTTATTTCCTGGGCTTCTGTCAAGCTAATCATAATAAATGATATACATTGGGCTTTGGGCCGCGGCTCACTGTTGTGCACCTTTTTCTCATTCCCATTTATTACATTTTCCTCTTCTTGAGTTTTATCATCCGCCTCTCTCCATCATTTTTTCACATGAGGCATTACCTCTCACTTCTTCATTGCCACAGGTACTCACTTTTAAATTCAAATTTTAAATTTCATCTCCCTCCATCTCTTCAGGTCTCCTTTCGGGAGTCTCAGTGCCATTTTATCTCATTCAAAATGTTTATAATCTTCTTTTATTATTCCTTTCATTTCTGCTCTTTCCCCTTCTTCCTCTTATTTTATTTTCCTTTCACTGATTTCACTTTTCTTTGTTGCTCTTCGGTTGTTTTTCTTTGGCCCTTCTTATTAGGTTTTCCAATCATTTATTGCAGTTCATCGAGGAAGGAAGAAAACAAAAACATGTATTCTGTCTCTGATTTCTTCTTATTTGCTCAAGGCAGCTCTACTATTCTGTCTGAACTCATCTCTCTCTACAGCATTGATCTAAGAATGAAGAAGTTGTTCAAAGGTCTTGCCATATTGACACAGCTAAAGCTCAACTATGATTTACATGACAAATGAGTTTCTCATCTATGTATTCTCATCTCTGGAAGATGAAGAAGAGCAAAGGTAATGTTAGCTATTTCTTCACAATCGCTCAAATTTCTTCGGATTTGTAAGCGGCGGGGAAAAATAAGAAGGTCCGATGCGCGGTTATTGTAAAGTTTCTAAAGCAAAATAAGAAGGTCCATAAAGCTTTTAATATTTTCTAAAGCACAAGGAGAATTACAGATTTCCATGTAATCTATCACATTACTTTAAATTTTTTATACACAGCAAAATCATTTGTGACTGTTATTGCGTATATTTCTGATTACTGAATATCATAGATTGAATTTTCTTTTCTACCAAAGTATAATGATTCTTTCTAGATATTTGTCTTTGCTTTTTTTTTTTTTTTCAACATGGTCTTTTGGTGTTTCATGAAAATATTAAAAGCTTTATGGACCACACTGACTTCCCTGAAAAAAGAGATCTGAACCTCAAGGTACAAGTATTTTACCTCTGCTGTGTTTATTTATTGATGGTGTTAAATGATCGAGAACGTCTCAAAAAGGAAACATGCCAAATAAAGTCACATTTCGGTCTTCTTTTCATTGTAGCATA